GTCACATTCCTGTTTTCATCCCCCATTACATTCAACATCAAGAGAATCATTTGGCTCGGAATTGTAAGAGACACCAGAAAGACCAACTACAGAGATTTGGGGATGGTGCATCTCACCATCTCATCATCTACCCAGTAGCAATTCATGTCAGTAGAGATTCCAATCACATGACATCTCCTATGCAGAAAGATATTTCATTCATATGACTGAGAGATCTCACAAAGTCTTCTAGATGTTAATAGGGGTACTCCAAAAGTAGGTGTGTAGTTTTTTTGTGGGTTTTTTTTTTTTTTTTTTTTGCAACAAGAGAAATTGGAAGTGCAAGATGTTTTGCTCTTGAGCAGGTAGACGCCTTTGCTCTTTAGGAGAGGTGTTCGTGATACATTGGCATGGAGTCCTACTATCCATGTTCCCACTAATGCCATCGATACATTGGAGATTAGTATATATATGGCAAGATAAGTCCAATGACATATTTTAGCAACTTTTATTTGCCTCTGTTTGATGTTATTTCCAGACATTATGTTTCTTCTTAAGGTAGTAACTTGGTTCTGTACCTCACAACCAATAATGGTACCATCTTTTTACCAAGACCCAAAGTCACCATTGGAATGTTCATTGCATAGCCTAGATGTTGCCGTTGTTTCAACTTATATACCGTCCTGTAGTACTAAAGTACTATAGTACTCTGGGTGGTTTACAACATAAACTGTTAAGAAGCATTGGCATTTTATTTATTTATTTATTTATTTATTTAACTTATATGCCGACCACACTACCTGAAGGTCTCTGGGCGGCTTACAGCACTTAAAATACAATAAAAAGGCAAAATAAAAGGGCAAAATAATTAAAATGCAATTAAAATATATATTTTAGGACAAAAGAATTCAGGAAGACTAATCACTTGTCTGCTATTAAGGACCTTGTAAAGGTCTTCCTGTCTTATCTCAGAGATTAGCTAAGTGGGTGGATAATTTGATTCGATTGGCTTATGACGCTGCTAAAGTTCCATTACCTGGCAAACCTAAGAGTTACTGTACAAGGGCAAAAGCAGTATCCTTTTTCTTTTTGAAAGGTATAACACTGCATGGTATCTGTAAAGCAGCTACCTGGTCTCAGCCCATGACATTTGTTAAATACTATAGGCTGGACCTTCATGTCTAGAGAGATGCTTCCTTTGGCAGAGCAGTTTTGTCTTCTGTGATATTGTGATTCCCAGCCTATAGTATAGGTGCTTGCTAGTTATTCAGATTTGTGAATCACAGAAGACCATGAAAGGGGGCGGACAGGTTACTCACATGTTACTGTATTTCCTCAAGTGATCATTCTGTGCATTCAAACAAACCTCCCACCTGCCCACTAGTCAGACTTTTTCTTGGTGGCTTGGTGGCTGGGAAGTTGGTGAGGAGATAAGGGCAGGCATAGTAGACTAGGAAGGAGGAGAAAGAACTGGGCGTGCAGGCTCTAGGACATTCTGATGGCAGGTACCCTAACCCTTTGAGGTTGGTATTATATGCTGAAGCTGATAACTATAGTCTTGCATTATAAATTGAAGCTGCCTGGTCTAAATGCTAGTGCTGCAAAAGGATCCTGTAGTTGGACAGTAAAGCTGTTCATATGTCAGCTTGATAGCATGCTGTCCATGCTGTGTTACCTTGTGAAATGTGTATACTGGGTACTCTCAAATAAACATAATATAGAACTAGCAAGATTGTTGAATATGTATACAGTGGTACCTTGCTTGACGAGGATAATCCGTTCCAGCAAAATCGCTGTAGAATGAAATTGTCGTAAAGTGAAAGTAAAAAACCCATTGAAATGCATTGAAAACAGTTTCATTGCGTTCCAGTGGGCGAAATACCTCAGAGTCCAGCGAAGATCCTCCATAGGGTGGCCATTTTCCGGTGCCTGTATAGTGAGGAATCCGTCCTAAAACACAGCGGAGAGCCATTTTGAACAGCGGGGAGCCATTTTGAAAACCCGACAATCAGCTGTTTTGATTGTCGTTAAGCGAAAAATCGGTTCCCGAAGCAGGGGACCGATCGGCGTTAAACGAAAAAACCCCATACAAACATTGTTTTGTGATCGCTATAGCGATTGCAAAATACTCAGCGTTAAGCGATTTCCTTGTCAAACGAGGTAATCGTTAAGCAGGGCACTACTATATACTGTACGTACACACATACACATACGTGTGTGTGTGTGTGTGTGTGTGTGTGTGTGTGTGTGTGTGTGTGTGTGTGTGTGTGTGTGTGTAAAATATGTATGTTCACGTAATATGTTGAGCACCAAACATGAGGTTAGGCACTCATATTCTCTTAGAATCCTCTACCTTTGTATATATTTGGCTACAATTTGCAACAGGTTTTCTTGTAAAGAATTTAAAAACTACCAGAAGCAAAGATATCAGCTTGTTTTGATAGGCTTATGTAAGACTGGCATGAGTAGATTGCTGTCATAATTTCCCTATATTCTGCCTGGTTTGCTTCCTGAACACCCTAGACAGTGATCAGCTATTTCACCGTTTGACCTTATTCATCTTATCTTAATAGGAATATATACTGTAAGTACACTTTTATTTTGGAGATGAAAATAAATATAGCTCTGTCAGCCTGACTCATAACTAAGCTGAGGTTATCTGTAAACACAGCAGACTACATTGTATTTTGATTCATAGTTGTTTTTAGTAAAAAGATACAAATAATAGGCGACACATTGCAGAGCCTCTTTGTAAGAACATGAGTCATGCTACATCAAATCAAAGGCAATCTAAAGGATGGGTAATCCACAAATGATTCCCCAGGGACTTCCAAACTTCTTTTGCTGTTATCTCAGATTACTAATAGGAGAGAAGAGGACACTTTGGGGGTAACTACCTTGACAGATAATAAGAGAATTGCTCTTAGACTGAGATGGTCAATTTTGTATTATTTTCTCTTGGCTATACATTGCACAAGTCTATGAAAATTAGCCCAGAGTTTTCTCCCCTAGTCTGTCTTTTTTCCTTTGTTGCTGGGGCTTCTACTTTTTTTTTTTGCAACAAATGCATTGACATTAGTTCAGACAGTGTGATTGCTTGAGTTCCCCTCGACCAAGCATCCTTGCTTCCAAATTCAGCATTTTGCCTCCCACAAATTCTGTTCCACATCTATCTCCCCCATCCAAAGTGCCCTCTAACTTTTAGCTCTGCTGGGTGTGGGTCCACCTCTTGCGTGCGTGACACCACCCCCACCCCTGCACACTGGATTCTGTCGCAACTGGAACCTAATGCGATTGCTGCATGAAGGGGAAGACAGCTGTGCAGAGGGAGGCAGAGGCATGTGCACGCATGTGCGTGCCCAGCTTAGAGGGAACTTCACCCCCATCATTAATAAAACAGAGGATGTAGCTTTCCATTTTGACGTATTTTGAAAAAGAAAACCTCACAGAAAAGGGGTCTGTCAAACCCCCTTTTCAGTCAAATTGCTGCATGCCTTTTTTGCAAGATAACATTAACAGTCTTTTGTTTCTGCCACATCTTTGTTCTTACTCATATCGAATAGCCCAGGTAAACGACAAGTTCTATTTGAATTTTGAGTTGATAATAAGTGGATAATAAGATATTTTACTAAAATGTAGAGATTTACTGCAAAGCATTAAAGATGTGAAGCTCAGTTGGAAAGGATGGTCTTCTTGTTCTCCCCCCCCCCCAAAGAGTTAGTGTGAGTTGTTTATGAACCATGCCCTCTGGCTGACCATTTACTCTCAGTATATATGGATATTCTGGATGTCCAACATGTAGTCCTAGCATATAACCTTCATTGTCTTTGCTTGTCACTCAGAACTACTGAATTGTTAGGATTATGGTACTTTTAACATGATCAATATAAGTTTCTTGTAAATTAAGTGAAAATCCTGTTAATTTTTGTTTTATGGAACACTTAATGAAAGTGAGAGCTTTTCATTTAGTTCTTTACATTTTCCATAACTAGATACAATGTCATAAATAATCTATACAGATTGGATTCCATTTATAGAATCATTGAACTCTGAAAACTAATGTGAACTTTTCACAGTTTGACTTTACTGTATCTGACACTGTCTAGTTGTCTAATAATTAAAATTAAGATTTATCTTGTTACTCAAGGAGAAATTGAATTCCTGCTTGCTGTAAACCAAATATAATAAAACTTTGTATCAAAATTTTGATACAAAATTTATATGCCGCCCACACTACCTCTGGGTAGTGTGGGCGGCATATAAATTGAATAAATAAATAAACTGAATAAATAAAATGCAAACTCTGTCATAACATGTTTAATTTTGATTGGTCCCACATGTTATCATTAAATAAGGCATTTGCTCAACATGGAGTACATTCTGCTCCCTTTCTGTGACATATAATTCTATTTTGTTAAAACAAATGACCCTGTATTTCTCCCAGTGGGGAGAATATGACATAGAATCATCCCTGTACTTGTGCTGTGCTTCAGAGCTGCCCCGGTGTCTTTGAAACTTAGTATTTAATCAGAAACAAGACCCTTTTTCTTTCCTCAAACCAGAAGCAGGGCAAATAGATGATGAATGTAGGTATGAGCTTAGTAGTGAGACAAACAAAACTTAAATATGATATTGAGCTCAAGGAGTTCTGTAACTCAGTGGCCTTTCTAAGAGGTCTGTTTTGCATGTTTCTTCAACTATCAAAGGAGTTGTTGAATGTGGGTTTTAATAAGAGTTGTATTTTGTATAAAACAAATATATTTTTTCTTCTGCTTCTAAATCTTGACATGAATTTAAATAGCTTGCCTATTAATGACAGTGATCTAACATATTACTGTTGTATGAATAGACATAATAATTCTTCAGTGTTATCAAGGTTAAGTGTTTTCAGATTAATCATTAGTAATATATTTCTGGTTTCAAATGATCTGTGAATGTTCAAAGAAAACTGGTTTAATAATAACATCTCATCTTATGAGCAAATATACACTGAAAATGTTTTGTTCTGATTTTTTTTCCAGAGGCATTGTTGCCAGCATATTAGTTTTCTTGTGTTTTGGAGTCACTCAAGCTAAAGATGGGCCATTTTCAAGACCTCATCCAGGTAATCAAAATTGCTCATGGCATAAAAAAATCCTTAATAAATAATATTAGTTATATTCACATGTAAGCTTGCAGGAGTTAGTCCTGCCTCGTATTGTAGTTTCATAGAAAATTCATTAATACAACATTCATGGAACAAAAGCATAGTACTGAAATTCTGAGCTGAATTAACTCCATGGACTAAGCGTGCAGTCAGAGAGGGTGGAATCCAATAAAGTTTTTATATTCATGGATCTGCTTGTCTCAGCAGAACCAGAATGGGGGCAGTCTGTCTCCCCATAACACTCTCAAACCCTTGGGGAAAGATTTGTTAGATTTTATGGGAAGCACATGTTGAAAGTAATGCTTAAAAAGTCATGTTGTATGGTACATTATTGCAGTAATGGGTTTTGTCTTGAAAGTCAAAGACAAAGTAAAGTAAGTTGTATTAGACAGTGGAGCTTACCACTGAATACTCATTGAACTCTACTATTTGCCATTTAGCTTCTTGACAAAGAGATTAGGGATGTGTCAGCTCTACCATCATTTTCAGTATCTTTCTCTTCTTGTTTGGGTTGCACAGTAAGCAAATTCTAAACTGAATGGTAATATCAATCCCCCAGTTGCATATTTATCATAACCTAAATATCTCAGTTTGTTGTCCTCTGAACATTAATCTGAGGTTAAATCACTGATCAGATCACTGAATGTGGTAGAGCTTAAGTCTAATTTAACTAGTTTATGCTTGGATTTTATAGCACATGAGAATTTTATCAGCATACCTGAAGAACTGCATGTGTAAAAAAAATCAGGGAACATAAAAGAATGTGGTGAGTGGAAAAATACACAATTTGTTGGGTTCCTGTCTCCCTTTTATGCCCTGAACTGATTATATCTGAGAAAGGTGTTTTATCCTTCCACACATACACCCATAGTTATTTTGTAGTGGAGGGTAGAGTGATTACCATACTCTTGGTCATATTCCACTTGGTCCTTCTCTTCACTGACCCCAACTGTCCTAGGGAACAAATATTTCAAACTCTACATCAGTTGGAATCTCTTTCTGATCCACACCTGGTCCATCTCCCGGTAACTCCCCTTTGCAGCTTGTTCTGTTTTGCTTTTGTTCAGGGTATTAATATTTTTGCTCAACATGTTTTTTATTTCTTCAGTTAGAAGTACAGTAGACATACTTTTATAGGTAATTTCCTGTAGAGAATATGTAACTCTTCTGGCAATACTGGTTTCATTTTAGCCATTTTTGAACATACTTTTGTAACAGTAATTTCCTTACTGAAGAAATTAAAAGAGTTAGCGATTTTGTATACCTTGGTACAGAAATCAATATGTATGGGTATGAAAGCTGGACAGTAAAGAAAATGGACAGGGGGAAAATAGATTTGTTTAAAATGTGATGCTGGCACACTTGTTGCTGATACCCTGGATTGTCAGAAACACGAGCAAGTGGGTCCTAGATTAAATTAAGCCTGAACTATTTTTGGAGGCAGAAATGTTGAGGTGTCCTACTTTGAGTACAGGAAAAATAATAATACTGGGAAAGGTGGGAGACAGTAGGAAAAGACAAAGACCAAATATGAGATGGACTTATTCCCTAAAGGAACTACGGGCTTGGGTTTACAAGAGTTTAGCAGAGCAGTTGAGGACAGGACATTTTGGAGATGGCTTACTCATAGAGTTGCTGTAAGTTGGAGGCAACTTGATGGCACATAACAACAACTTGTATAATCTGTCTAGGAGAATTTGCAAGCCAGAATGGGTCAGAGGAATAAGTGTCCAGTTTTCACACCTGAGTTAAGCACAATTTGATATTACAAATGTAATGGCAATTACTTAAATCAGGGGTCTCAAACTTAAACATGCGCCCCCGGGGCCATTTGCAGCCCACCGGAAGATAGTTTGTGGGCCCCATCTTGCCTGCCCCCCGAAGCACCCACGTGTCCTCTGTTGTCAAGAGTTAAAAAAAAAGCATCACCTCGCTTGCCAGCTCTCTCCTGAGACAGCGCCTCTGTTTGCGTGCATGCGCACACAACTGTGGGCCACCTGCCCCATTCTGTTTAATTTTGCAGGTACCGGTGGGTACTTTTCTCCTCTGGCAAGGTGATTCTGTGAGTTTTTTTTTAAAAATTGTATGTCGTCCCCTCCCCCCATCTAGGCGGTTGCTGGCGCTCCCTCCCTTCTCCGCTTCTTCGTCCTGCTGCTGCTGCTGCTGGTGGTAGTGAACAGGGAGCCGGGGAGGGGGTCGTGGCCGGCGACGAGGGGTCGCATGCCCCTCCTCCTCCTTCTCGGAGCCCCAGCTGGGCTAAGGAAACTCCTGGGCAGCTTCCTTGGGCTCTTGCTCCACTTAGTGGAAAATCTGATGCGGCCCAGCCTCACCCAGACTCTGCCTCCAGCGGCCCCCAGGTAAATTGAGTTTGAGACCCCTGACTTAAATGCTCTCTACAACTTGCAGCACATAAAATGGAACGTTGGCCATTATCCTAACTTGAGTTGTGAAGGAAAAACACTGTTAATGACAGTAATAGAATGGAAAGTGAAGGAGCAAATTGACATTGTAGAGAAATGCTTCTAAGTAAGGATACATGTGTATTACTTGAGAGGCTAGATCTGTTGCTTGGTCTTCATATGAGTGCTTGTCAATGTTACATTATTTGTATGCATTCCTTTTGAGCATTTGAAAAGCATACACAGGTACTTGTTGTGCTATCTTAAATGCTTTCTCCCCACTAGACATTTTCTGGGGCAAGGAAGTAGTGTTGAGCATTCCAATTTCATAGCAGAATAACTTTTCCTATCAAGACTTGGAATTGCAAGTCTGAGCATTTTCAGCAGGAAAAAGACATTATGCCCACTGGGTATTTGTGAGGCAAGCAGCAACAACTAGTTAAAACCTTTGTGGATTTGAATGGGCATTCAGATAGGGACACTTTTATTTTCCATATCTCTTTTGCATACCTTGGCCATCTGTAGTGCTCATTATGCTGTAATGCTCAGGCACATTAGAGCAGTGGTCCCCAACCTTTTCGGGACCACGGACCAGCTGAGGAAGGCGGGGCACCCCTCGCCCTCATGTGCACATGTGAAGGAGCGCTCTCTCTCAGGCAATGCACAAAGTGGTGGCGAGTGCATGCATGCCAGCACACAAGCAATCGCTCCCCCACCCCTTCGCACATGCGCTGGAGCACCTGTCTGCACGCCCCTCCACCCTTTGTGTGGGTGCTCCGGCGCATGTGTGAAGGAGTGGGGGATTGCTCACGGCGGCATTGGTGTGTATATGCACAAAGCAGCTGTGGGGAGGGGAGTGCATGCGGGGCGGAGGTCTGTCTTCGTGGCCCAGTCTGGCTCAGGCCACAGACCGGCACTGGCCCAGAGACCAGGGGTTGACAACCTCTGCATTAGAGCATATACATTGTGGAAGTACTCATAATGTGATTTCCAAAACAAAAATAGCTTTGAGTGTGCAGCATGGAGGTAGTTAAGAGTTATTTAAATAAAAACAGGATACTGTTGGCATAAGCTTCTTTTATTTCTTAGTATGATTGTACCATTTGCTGTTCTTTTATGGTGTCCTAAGTATAGCACATTTCATACCAAAATTTTTACCTGAGTGGAACTTCTTAACCTTGTCTAACTGGCATTCTGTTTCTTAACACACAAAAAGGCTGTCTTGAAAATACTGATTTAGCAGCCTTAACTCAATGCACACGAGTGCGACACACCCACCACGCAAGCACAGGGTGCCCCCGCTCCACCACACTTGGTGCCCCCTCCCCCCAGCTGGTCCACAGCCCCAAAAATGTTGGGGACCGCTGCCTTAGCATATCTAAGACTCCCCGCGGCTCCAGGGTTAGAATTAGATCTTCTAAATTTTCTCCTCTTGTTTCCTCCAGCCCCTCCTTGAATTGGCATAAATCATCCACCACCTTCTCATTTCCTTGTTCATTATTCCTTGTCTCCTGTTGACTATAGTCCTTCCTTAACTGCTGATTGAATAATTTCGTCTCTTCGTTGTGGGATCTCACTATTTCTAAAGTTGCTTGAAGGGTAGATTTTGTTTCACCCCAAATTTTCCTTGTTGTAGCATTACAGTATGTCTCAGATATCAAATAATTGTATTCCAAGTGAAAGTTGCCCAGTTGCTTAGAGTAATCCGTCCAATTTCATCAATACTTTCTTCCATACTTCCACTTTAATACATTGATCATCTTTAGGGTTAAACTTGAATCCAGTCTCAGATGTAAAGGGTTTCCCCTGCTTGAAGGCTCAAGGACACTTGCTCACCAAGTAGTTCCTTTGATATTTGTATTCATGGCCTGATGTCTTTTGTAATCCAGCCCCAGAGGCAGTCCATTCCCATATCAATTCTATCCTGGCTTGTGCTCCAGTCAAGTTCAGAACTCAGGATACATTTTTAAAATTCCACTTTGGCAGAATTAGACTTTCTAGGGTTAATTTGTCTATATTTCAGTCAGTCCTCTGAAAAAGAAGTCAAAACTGCCATAGAGTGTTCAAGACCATTGTGCTGGGCTTTTTGCCAACAGTATAGCTGTAGCCATAGCATAACAGGTTTAACTCCCAGATTTGTTTAGCTAATAATGATTATAGGAGAAAAAAATCTTAAGTCTCTAATGCCAAAGTAATACCAAACATACTTCCTTGAAGTATGATTAAATGTCCAATTAGTGTCCAGTTTTTTTTCTTTGTGTCTGCATCTCTTCCCTCTCTCCAGATTCACTGCTGCTCTATAAGTGGTGAGGATAAGAGACATTATTTCTGTTAAAGGGATTGTCTCATCTAGGGACAGGGTCCACAGCTTGATGATGCTCCTGGACCCCAGTCTAACTCTGGAAGTCCAGGTGGACTTGGTGGTCAGGGGTGCCTTCCTTCAGATGCAGAAATTATACCAGCTATGGCCCTACAGGGGTGCCTTCCTTCAGATGCAGAAATTATACCAGCTATGGCCCTACTTGGACAAGCAGAGTCTCATGACAGTTATGCATGCACTGGTATGTGAGATTCCCTTTGAAGATGGCCTGGCGACTGCAACTGGCTCAGAATTGAGCTGTGTGGCTGGTGAGTGGTGGGACTGCTAGGGAACATATCAGGCCAATTCTGTTCAAATTACATTGGCTATCAGTCACTGCCCAGGCCCAATTCAGAGTGCTTGTTTTGAAGTATAAATCCCTAAACAGCTTGGGCCCTGGATACCTGAAGGACCGCCTGCTTCCATATGAGCCTACCCGGCAGTTAAGATCTAGCCAGGGGACCCTTTTGAAGAGCCATCAGGAAGTAAGAGGGACGGCTTGTAGACAAAGGGCCTTTTTGGCAGCCCGCCCCCCCAAGATTATGGAACACCATCCCAAGGGAGATTCATCTGGTGCTGACGATGATATTTCGCGCCAGGTCAAAACCTTCCTGTTCCAGAAGATTTTTAATTAAAATAATATCAGACGTGGGTCCTGATGGCAGTTTTTAGAGTACTGTATTTTTAACTGTATTTCAATTGTTTTATCTTTTTATTGTATTTAAATTGCCACCCAGAGACCAAGGCAAGGGGAGCAGAGGGGAGGGGAGGGAAGGGAAGGGAAGAAGGAAAGGGAGGGAAGAAGGAAAAAAGGAAAGGGAGGGAAGAAGGGAAGAAAGAAAGAAAGAAAACAGTATAGTGTTAATATCGTTATCACCGAATGATAACGATATTAATTAGCTTCTCTATTGCCGGCTGCCGACAACTTGCAAGCAAGCTTTTCAGCTGCTTGTTTCCGCCCTCTGGTTGATTAGGGAGTTTCCTGGATCAAAACGGGGGCAACTGCTGTCAACAGGCTTCTCCCCCATTTCACCACCTCTTTAGGGTGGTTTAAACCCCCTAAGGTGTCCCAAACAAGTCGGAATTCAGCCTAGAGAACGGAGCTCCGTCCTCCTGCTGCTCTCTCGTTGCAGCGTCAAACTGGAAGCAGAACTTGTTTTGTGATGGCCTGTTAGTTGCTTGCTTGCTTGCTTGGGCCTGCCTGCCTGCCTGTCTACCTGCCACCTATTAGTGCAAAAACGCTATTTAGGCATTTTGACAATAAGTTAAAATACATATTATATGACCAATAGACAAGTTAAAAACACTAACAGCATAAAAACCAAATGACAACAAAGGCAGTTTCCCAATAACATCAGGATAGGAGGTAAACAGACATTTAGAAAACTGCTGGAGCCATACTTTATTGAAAAGCACGCGACTCAAGGTGACACAAAAATCTTCATCTTCCAGAGCATTGCCATGCCTGCTCAGAAGCCAATGTGCTGCTGTAGCAAAAGTTGACAGCAGTGTGTATTAATGTCTGACAAAGTGGATGTGTCCACAAAAGCTTTCATTACAATATAATAGTTGGTCTTTATGGTGCCACATGTTTTTGTCTTTTTTGTCTTTTGTTTCATTTCATTTGCTTTTGCCTGATATGACAAAAGAGGGTTGTATCCAAGCAGTTAGAATTTGAATTCAACTTGGACAAAGCACAGTGGAGAGAGGAAATGCAAAAGAAAGAAAATACTGTAGTAATGTTTGTTACTTCAGATCTCCTCACCTTGTTAAGGTGTGCATCCAAAAAGAGGTTATGTACAGGGTTTTAAAAAGATTAAATGTATGCAAAATGTTAAAAAAATTCTAGAAGAAAAAAATTAAAGTAAAAATAATATAGGCTTAAAAGTACAGTGGTGCCTCGCTTTACGATTGCCCCGCATTATGATGAAACCGCATTATGACAATCGTTTTGTGATCGCAATTGCGATCGCAAAATGATGATCTGAATGGGTTTTTTTCGCTTTGCGATGATCGGTTCCCTGCTTCAGGAACCGATTCTTTGGAAAACGACGATTTTCCTCCAGCTGATCGGTGGTTTCAAAATGGCCACCGGGTAAATAAAATGGCTCCCCGCTGTTTTGTGGGTCAGATTCCTCGCTGCACTGGCACAGAAAATGACCGCCCTATGGAGGATCTTCGCTGGATGGTGAGTTTCCAGCCCACTGGAAATCATTGAAGGGGTTTCAGTGCATTTCAATGGGCTTTTTATTTTCGCATTACGACATTTTTGTTTTACAGCAATTTCGCTAGAACGAATTAACGTCGTATTGCGAGGCACCACTGTAAAGGTAAAGGTTCCCCTTGACATTTAGTCCAGTCGTGTCTGACTCTAGGGGGTGGTGCTCATCTCCATTTTCAAACCATAGAGCCAGCATTTGTCCATAGACAGTTTCCGTGGTCACGTGGCCAGCATGACTAAACACGGAACACCGTTACTTTCCCACCATGGTAGTACAGTGGTGCCTTGCATATCGACGTTAATCGGTGCAGCAAAAATACCTGCTAAGCGATTTCGTCGCTATGCGATTTAAAAAACCCGTAGAAACGCATTAAAGCCTGTTTAATGTGTTCCTGTGGGCCTAAAACTCACCTTAAAGTGAAGATCCTCCATACGGCAGCCATTTTCGCTGCCTCTTAAGCGAGGAATCCGT